TCTCCTCCCTCTCCCCCCCTACCTCTCCTACCCCCTCCCTCTCCTCCCCCTTCCCCTCCTTTTCCTCTCCTCCATCTCCCCCTCCCTCTCCCTCTCGCTTTTCCATTCTCTCTCTCTCTCTCTCTCTCTCTCTCTCTCTCTCTCTCTTTCCATCTCTCTCTCTCCGTCTCTCTCTCTCTCTCTCTCTCTCTCTCTCCATCTCCCCTCCCTCCCTATCCCTCTCCCCCTCCCTAGTAGGGAATAAAAGTAGTCCTATGACTCCACAGTCAGCCAATCAAATGCCTAGGATAACTATAAAGTGACATGTGCACAATGAGCAAATATCAGAAATATGTGTTCTTTATGTTTTTCCTGTGGGGTTATAATCTCAAAAAAATATTCCTGCATTTATGATTAAAGTTGGAATGCATTCTCTGAAAATGCCAAACAGGATCCTTTTGTAATAGGTTTTGATTAAGATTAATCAAATGTCAAGGTCAGCATTCAGGTTTTTGTGAAACATGGTAATATCATTGTCAGTTTCTGAGACATGCATGGAATTTTATGTGTATATGTGCACATATCTTTATAAATCCTACATGAAATGTGGGTTGCATGTCTATCAAAGGCCAAGGTGATCTTTTGAGCTTACTGTGAAACATATTTGCATGATTCATTGCCAGTTTAATACAGTAGTCTGGTTGCACTGTTAGTTGTTCAGTCCATAAATCAAATTGTTGAAAATTGTTGGATATTGTATAGATTAAGGTCAAAGCCTGGAAGTCATGCACAGCACATGGCATGTTAATATTTTTGGAGCTTTGAGGAAATGGCGATAAACAGCGTTAGAAACTGCCACTAGTCCTGTAGTCTTTGCCAATCTGCTCAATAATTAAGGTATCATAAGGACTAGCAGACATTTGCTATTTTTAAGGGTGTTACTATATGTTAACATTTTAAGGACTAAAAGATTTAAAATGTTAGTCTCTACCCCTGGATAAAGGGTCTGTTTCTGTTTTTGCAAGTATTTGCAAACACATCTAGTTAAATATCTGTCAGTTTATTTTAAGTCAGCTTTAGAAATTTCCTCTTGTCCTGTAGTCCTTGCCAAACTGCCCAATAGTTAAGGTATCATAAGGACTGGTAGAAATTTGCCATTTTTAAGGGTTTTGCTATATGTTATCATCATAAGGACTAGTGGACTAAAAATGTTAGTTTCTAACGATGATAAGCATGTTTGTTTTAAACATAGTTTACTGTAGTTTGGACAAAATAATTATTTGTTCCCAGTTTGCCTGCCAAGGCGTTTAGTTTAGAATCCTAGATTAAACCCTGAAATGTCAATGACCTGTGCCACACTGGCATTTCCTCCCACACTAAGCCCACACTCTGTGATACAGCTGAAAGTACTTTAATCCTCATCCTCATCCTCTCTCACCTGGTCTGTCTAAACAAGTAGTTCCATCATGGGTAGTCAGAACTTTTTTCTTTGAAACAATATTATGTTTGAATGTTTCAAATAGGCATTTTTCTCCTTTGCAGTAAAAGTCAATCAAGATTCCTCGTTTCTTGACCTGTCTTCCTTATATAAAGATATCAGAAGCAAGAAACAGTGAGGTCCTCCACCCTTGGTGCCTTGTTGATATTGTTTATGGCCCCATGAAGATCTGGGTTAGAATTGGTCTTTAGCAACCCATGCTTGTCGTAAGAGGCAACTAACGGAATCCGGTGGTCATGCATCTCGTTGACTTGTTTGAAACATGTCATTGCATCCCAATTGCGTAGGTCGATGCTCTTGATGTCAATCACTGGATTGTCTGGTCCAGGCTCGATTATTTACTGTTATTTAAACAACAAACAAAACAAATGAACATATTTATGCATTTGGGTGTGTGTACTGTTGTCGAGACGAGACCTGTAGGCCTCACACCGAGTCATGGGACACATATACATGTTGTAGTGTGACCTGGGCGACCTTGGAGGCCACCTGTCACCTGTCAGGTATACAATACTTGTACAGGTGAAGGTCCATGCCCCAACTCTGGATTCTACACATGCACAACAACCCCGCCCTCCTGACACCGACCCCTTCTTACTGACAGTCCACATACCATGGTCCTCTAAGTAATTGTATTTCTGTTTAGATGAAGATTAAATGGGTTAATGGTCGTAGAACAAAGAAGATGTACAGGGTCATATCTCAGAATGCGCATTAACTTGTCAAGAGGGCAATACACTGTGCATGTCTAATGTGTTTTGATATAGCTTTGCCCGATGGAAACGTGATGTTGAGAAAGGCTCTTCAAATAAAAAATGAAATGAAACTACGAACAAGAAAAAAGGGAGGAAATAATATTTTTTCTTCTCACAATAATTTGAAAGTCTTATCCTTAAAACAAGGATGAAACTTTGATCGACTTAGGGATGTATTTTTGTTACATTTTTATAAAAGTGCATTTTGACAAGTGTATGTGTGTGTGTCACTGAGAGTGTGTGTGTCAGTGTCTGTGTGTCTGTGTCAGAGTGTGTGTGTGTGTGTGTCTGTCTGTATGTCTGTGTGTATCAGTGTGACTGTGTGTGTGTCAGAGTGTCTGTGTGTGTCTGAATGTCAGTGTGTGTGTGTGTTTCTGTGTGTGTGTGTGTCAGAGAGTCTGTGTGTGTGTGTGTGTCAGAGTGTCTGTGTGTCAGTGTAAGTGTGTGTGTGTGTGTCAGCGTGACTGTGTCTGTGTGGGTATAACATGTTGGGAAGTGCACATACAAAATGTCATCACATGTTAAAAAAAATGGTGGGGTGGATGTAGGTTACACACACACACACACACACACACACACACACACACACACACACACACACACACACACACACACACACACACGACACACAAAACACACACACACAAAACACACACACACACGACACACACACACACGACACACACACACACGACACACACACACGACACACACACACACACTCTGACGTTTATCAAACAGACCAAACACAAGCAGGCCTGTACAATAAATCTAATACAGAACCACAACCCACCCCACCCCTCTGCTTTCACCTCTGACGTTTATCAAACAGACCAAACACAAGCAGGCCTGTACAATAAATCTAATACAGAGATAACACAAAGTTATCCCCTACCACGCTCTGGACAGAACACATTGGAAGTGTAGCACCATTGGATAATTGTGATCAAACCCAGATATACTCAACAACTGTTACAAACAAACACAACAATATCGAACCAACTCACCATCCACAATTTTCACACTGGTTGCCATGTCAACCTGTAAATTAACCAGATTGTGTAACAAAAACAAACAACTGAACAGAAAGAGGAACACACGATAATACATTTTCCTTTATTTTTGTAATGATTTCTCTTGGTTTTTGTGCCACTGACAGTCCAAATGTTGTGGAGAATTAATAATGAAACCCTATTGTCTGTCAAAAACTCTTGTTCTCACTACTTGAGGACTTCCTTGGAACTGTATTATTTCTGAGAGTGATTGATGGTAGAGGAGATGAAAACAGTACAATGACTTCTGGTACTGACCCAGACTAGTCTTTAAATAAGGTTTCCTGGTTTGGCTATTTTATTTGGTCAGGCATCTGTTTAAGACTTTCAGTGATATTCATGGCATTTATGGAGATAAAATCTGATGTGCACACTGTAAATCTGCTGATGTGCACTCTGGTTTTATGTTTGTATATAAACTCCATAGGTGCAAAAAAATATTGACGTCAACATTAATAACTCCACAGACTGCTAGTTTAATTATTAACACTGTAGACAGCCGGTATGAAATTGGTGACATCGTTCAGTGCAAGGGTGCAACACAAGCTCCACCCATTCTATTATCAGCCAATCAGTAAACTTAGTTTCTTAGTGGGCGTGGCCTATGGAATTTTTTTTATTATGGAAACAAAACAAACTTTCTTGGTTTGTTAATCAAATGCCACAGAATCACTTGCAATATATTTAATTGATAATGGAAAAAGCATCAACATACGGAATAAATCATCCTGTCTTGTGGGTTCCGGGATGGCAAGGTATTACAACAACAGCAATATTTTTTTGTCTTATCATTAAGGGGGCACGGGTGGCCCAGTCGTCTGAGGCGCCTCGATTCGCTGTGCAGAGTTGAGTCCCTTGGGCACGCCAGAAACCTATGATTGTGGGTTCGAATCCCGGTTCGCCCCGATTATGTTTCTAGGTTTGTCAGCACCATACCTGTGCTTGTGGGTTTCACTGAAGTGGTAAACGTCTGAAACCTGCATCACTTCGGGCTTTCCTCCCACATTGAGCTGACACGCCGCGATATGACTGGAATACTGTTAAAAGTGGCGTTAAACCCAACTCACTCACTCTTATCATTAAGGTAGACCTATACTTCAACGTCGATATGCAGTTAGCCTCATCAGATGGGGAAATTTATGCCTGGACAGCAATATCTAGCTAGCCTCATCAGTAAGGCAAGATGCTGCTGCAGTAAGTAATTAACCTCATCATTTTGGCATAGGAACAAAGCAACATCCGTGTGTGGTACGTTATTACCATGAGTTTAGCAGATTAACACTATTAGAGAAATGTGTAAGCTGCTTCATCAACAGAGAAGCTTGATAATGTTTAATTATCCCCCGCCACGAACTGGAAGGGGGATATAGGAAGGGGTGCTGTCCGTCCGTCATTCTGTCCGTCCATCATTCTGTTCTTCCGTCCTTCCATCTGTCATGTTTCGTTTCTGGAGCAGAACTAAAAATCAAGAGCGATATCTTTCCAAACTTGGCACATAGATAGGTCTAGTGGTGAACTGGTGCCTTTTGATATTTTGGGATTTTTGAAATGTTTATTTTTCAAGTTTCCATAGCATGACTTTGACTTAAGCGGTAGTGCTCGTTTCTGGAGAAATCTTGGAAACCGTACAATATTTCTTGCCTTGCCCACTACAGACATGTCATATTGATGGGGATATGAGTATTTCATGCTTATTTTCTGTGCTTTCTCTTCCAGTGATATGCTACATGATGTTGTTTCGCTTGGATGAACTTGGATTACCTCACCTGAGAAAATTTGTGCAGTCCCGGAGTGCCAGCAAACTGCATAAGGTAAGGAAGAGAATATATGGATGTCAACTTCTTTATTATAAGGAACACAATGTTTCGGAGTATATGCTTACTCCTTCATCAGGTGAATGAATGCCTTACTTACTTACTTACTTATCTTAGAGATTTTACGTGCGCTTTCCGACTCCAGCGTATTTCGCACACAGGCCCAGCCAGGCCATTTAATGTGTTTCCGAAAAGGGAAAAGTTGTTTGGCAACCCAGTAGGGGGGTTTTAGTGGTTGCTTATATAGAATATTGGAAATTTTGAGATTTGGAATAAATGCCGAGAGGGTTTGGGAGGAGAACTAAGGGAGCTGGGTATGGTAGTATGTTTGTTTGTTTATGTGATTTGGATTTGGTGGTTTATTGGGTTTTTAAATGCGATTTATTAGTCCTGTTTTGATTAAGAGTACGCCTAAGGCTTTGAATTTTTCTAGTTTATTTTGTGGGTTTAGGATTGCTTCTAGAGTAAGACTAAGAGCCTTATTTAGATTGAGGGTGGTTTGTAGTGTAGTTGGGTGTGTTAGGTAGTGGGTGCAGTGTATGAGTGCGTGTTCTGGGGTTTCTAGTTGCTTGCAGTGTGGGCAGTTTCCTGTTGCGTGTTTTTTTAATGAATGAATGAATGCCATGAGGCAGAGAGCATATATATGTACAAGTAAGGACAACAAAATGAATAAGATAACAAAAGGTGGAAAATAACAAAGGGTACAAGCTAACAAAGGAAACCAACAGATGATTGGGCGCTGATAGGTGATAAGCAATAGACAATGGAAGCCAACACTTAAGTTAAGTAAGTGGTAATGGACACTAGGCAAATGAGGGGGGGGGGGGGGGGGTATAATTAGCACTGATAGGTGTAAGAATGGACATGGCAAGGGGCAAATTGAAGCCAGCTAGGCTAATGCCTTTCAAAGACCGGTAAAAGGTAAGTTCATGGAGTAGGCCACCATTGGGATCCTGGGTTAGAATAGGTCCCCAGCAACCTATGCTTGTCGTTAGATGGATCAGGTCGTCAGACTCAGTGACTTGGTTGATGGATGTCATCGTATTCTGACAGTGTAGATTGTTGCTGACAATATCAATCACTGGATTGTTGGTTCCAAGTTGATCAGGTCATAAAGCTGGAATAGTGCTGAGGATGACTTTATCCCCCCCCCCCCCCACCCTCAATAAACTTTAATTGTATTTGATTCAAATGTGTGAGGAGAGTGGTATAAAATCAATACTCAAACCAGATTTATGGAAATTATCAATCTTGAGTTATTCAACATGTTACAATTAATGCCTGGTGCTTGGCATTAAGGGAATGAAACAAGGAGTGGTTGGCTTGGAGTCAGTAATCTTTGTCTGAGTAGGGTATTCATGTTAAAACTGCAGTATGGTTTCTCTGATTGAACTAGCTCTTAGAATTGTAATGAGTCTGGACAGGTACAAGTCATTCCCAGACAAATTCTGCGGTTAAATTATCACCATTCTGCAGTAAAATTAGCAAAATTCTGTGTCTAAAATTACAGAATTCTGTGGTAAGAATATAAATAATTCCCCATAAAACATTAATACAATCTCAGTCACTTTTCGAAAACTCTCATCCAAATCCAAAACGAAATGATTCCACAAACTGTAATTTTAAACAGTTATTGATTAAGACATAAATTATGCAAATAAATATGCATAGTGTCACTGATATTATAATACCACAAAAATGTTTCAAATGTTTCAAATGTCATTTTATTGCAGGATCACATTTCGTATCTTTGAATCACAGGTTAAATGTTTGGGCATCATTCGTTAGAAAAACTTGAAAATAATGAAAATTAGTGTGGTTGATAAAAATGGCAAATTCCATGTTTTTTCTGCAATTCTAAGGTGAGTTAGATTTTCTGCGAATATTTTCAAGAATGCAGAATCTTTCTGGGACTGGCAAACACACACACATATACGTGGCTATACAAGTTCAGTAGACTTGAATGCCACCGCACCTCCCTGAAACTGAGACCATGTTGGTTGCAGTTTTTAATTAATTTTTTGTATGGCAGTTCCTCAACTTCTTCCTGGATGAGAGGAACCTACTGACATGGGTGAAGGATCAGTGGGGCAAGTTCTATGAACAGAGTTTTGTAGAGGCAAATCTCCTGTCCCCCATACAGAGGTGAGTGTCTGACAGCGGAATCCCCTACATACATGTCCTTGGTGTCAGGACAGCTGTGCATGTTGTGCATGTTGCAGGTCTGATGGAGATGGTGACGTGCATGTTGCAGGTCTGGTGGAGATGGTGACGTGCATGTTGATGTTAGAGTTAAGATATGACTCCAAGGTCTTGGTTGAAAATGTAACATTTTCTCAAGCCTGAGTTTTATCTAACTTTTGAACTATCTAAATGCAAAAAGTACCAGAAAGAATAAGAAAATATTGGGATACCTTATTATGAAACAATACTGTAGTCACGCTATATAACAAATTCGATGAAAGTGGTTGAGAGAAAGGCCAAGTGCATTCAGACAACTGAAGTCAGTGATGTGTAATATGTATAGGATAAAACACACCTCTGTGGTTTTGGTTGAAAATGTTAAACCGCAAGTGGGGGAAAAGCCCAATGGTTTTCCTGAGCTCAAGGTTCAATATTTTCAACCAAATCTGTTGAGGCGTGTTTTATGCAACCTATGAACTGTCTAAATGCAAGAAGTACAAGAAAAAATAAGAAAACATTGAAAAACCCTTATAGTGAAATAATTGGGCCTGTCACGGTTTAAAAGGAATTTGATCAAAGCCAATGGTTATAACAAACAAAAATCAGTGGTTAAACCCTTTGAGTTTGATATAACCGTAATTTACTGTACTTTTCACAATGTTACAATGAGATGGCAAGATACCTACAATACCATAGGCATACCATAAGGTGGCAGGTTTAACTTAAGATTGTATTTGTGGCTGTCGGGTGGTGTATCAGATTGCTGTTGATACTGTATCAGATTGCTGTCGGTGCTGTGTCAGGTGGCTGTGAGAGCTGTTGGCGATGATGACACATGTTGATGTGTTGATGTTGTGGATGTTGCAGGTGGCTGCCGGAGCTGCAGGAGATGGTGACGTGCATGAAGGACAAGCTGGACCACAAGGTGAAGCCCAAGAAGAAGGTGGCCCCCGCCACAGGTGGGTCTGGCAACAGTCACATCTGGTCTAGGGTTAGGACAGATAATTGGGACCAGACAATCAGTGATTGATATTATGTTTTGTTTGATTATTATAGTACATGTAGTGATATTATGAGTACATGTGACAAAGTACATGTAATCATGTGACAATGTGAAACTATGTGTTGACAAAATGTGTTTCTTTCACAGAGATGAAACCTTTCAATCTGACACAACCAAAAGCAAGAAGTATTCCAGTGCCAGAGCCAGTGAGTACAACACAATCTATTCTTTTCTCTCTGCCCTTTCCTCTCCTTCCTCCTCTTCCCTACTCTCTCTCTCTCTCTCTCTCTCTCTCTCTCTCTCTCTCTCTCTCTCTCTCTCTCTCTCTCTCTCTCTCTCTCTCCCTCTCAATCCTTCCTACACTCACCCCTCTCCTCTCTAACCTCCCTTTCCCTTGTGTCATTCTTTTCTCTCTGCCCTCTCCTCTCCTTCCTCCTCTTCCCTACTCTCTCTCTCTCTCTCTCTCTCTCTCTCTCTCTCTCTCTCTCTCTCACAACCCAGTACAACACAACTCTCTCTCTCACAACCCAGTACAACACAACTCTCTCTCTCTCACTCTCTCTCTCTCTCTCTCTCTCTCTCTCTCTCTCTCTCTCTCTCTCTCTCTCTCTCTCTCCATCTCTCCCTCTCAATCCTTCCTACACTCACCCCTCTCCTCTGCCCTCTCCTCTCTAACCTCCCTTTCCCTTGTGTCATTCTCTTTCCCCCTCTCCTCTTCCTCCCACTCTCCCCTACTACTCTACTCAACTTCTAAATGAGCTCAGAAGGATGTGGGTGTGTATGTTTGTTTTCAGGGCCATGCCATCATTGCCTCCAGTGTAATGTGTCCTCAAACCATAAAAAGAGTTTTAAAGGAAAGAATGCACTTTGTAATTACAAGCTTCAATAATCAGTTTATTAAAATGAGTGGTAGTATTTCATTGGATTACTGACAGAAGTGCTATCATGCATGATTTAATTGATATGGTGCTATTGTGTGTCACATTCAACTGTTGCCATCCTTTCTGATAGCATGCTTTGTGATAGCAGGTAACCAATTTCCTTTAATAATATTCCAAACTGAAAGCCATTATTGAAAGGTTTTGATTACCCAACCGCGGTTTTCAGTTTAACTTTAAAAAAACATATATGTGTTTGATTGAAATAGGTTGTTTCATAAATCCTTTTTCTTGTTTTTGACCTTTGTTCTAGAAGTAATTTCATCCAAAGTTTGATTTCAACTTTCCCTGCTTCTGGGCATATTGTGAAATGTCTGTAAAATGAAAAGCTTCAGTGGTTGTGTGTATGTTTTAGCTGTGGCTGTGCCGTTGGAAAGATGTTTGTGTAATCAGTTGGTTATTGGGTATTGTTTCTTGCCAGTAATATTAAGCTTCGAACAAAATGGATTCATTGATGCTGATGTAGATGGAGGGTGTGTCCCACTGATGCTAGTTTAGAAAATCAGAATCATACCCATGCTTGTGTGTTTCAACAAAGTGGTACATGTCTTAATTCTCACACAGCAAGCTGAGATGTGCCTGAAACACAAAAACAACCCACTCACTCACTCACTCACTCACTCACTCACTCACTCACTCACTCACTCACTCACTCACTCACTCACTCACTCACTCACTCACTCACTCGTAAAGTAATAATACAATCACCAAAACCTGTGATTTGGATAAATTCATTGAGATTAAGGTAAAAATGGAAGAGAGCTTTTAAGTTTAACGATAGGTTCATAATTTCGTCACTTTTCAATTGTGACATCATGATGCCACCATTGCTACAGATTTGTGTCTTTGATATTAAAAGGAACTTTGATTGGCCGATGTTGATATGTTTGATATTGAAAGGCACTGGTGAGAAGTGATCTATGCAGTTAAGACAATGATAATAGAAGGACAGGAGAGTTAAGAAATAATGTCTTTGAACTGAATCACCTTGTGGTGATTCTGGTTTAGAATAGGTCCCCAGCAACCTATGCTAGTTGTAAGAAGTGACTTGATGGATTGGGTGATCAGGTTTGGTGACTCGATGGATTGGGTAATCAGGTTTGGTGACGTGATGGATTGGGTGATCAGGTTTGGTGACTTGATGGATTGGGTGATGTGGTTTGGTGACTTGATGGATTGGGTGATCGGGTTTGGTGATGTGATGGATTGGGTTATCAGGTTTGGTGAAGTGATGGATTGGGTGATCAGGTTTAGTGACGTGATGGATTGGTAGATCAGGTTTGGTGACTTGATGGATTGGGTGATCAGGTTTGTGACTCGATGGATTGGGTGATCAGGTTTGGTGACATGATAGATTGGGTGATCAGGTTTGGTGACTTGATGGATTGGGTGATCAGGTTTGGTGAAGTGATGGATTGGGTGATCAGGTTTGGTGACGTGATGGAGTGGATGATTAGGTTTGGTGACTCGATGGATTCGGTGATCATGTTTGGTGACATGATAGATTGGGTGATCAGGTTTGGCGACTCGATGGATTGGGTGATCAGGTTTTGTGACGTGATGGATTGGATGATCAGGTTTAGTGACTCGATGGATTTGGTGATCAGGTTTGGTGACTTGATGGATTGGGTGATCAGGTTTGGTGACGTGATAGATTGGGTGATCAGGTTTGGCGACTCGATGGATTGGGTGATCAGGTTTGGTGACGTGATGGATTGGATGATCAGGTTTGGTGACTCGATGGATTGGGTGATCAGGTTTGGTGACTTGATGGATTGGGTGATCAGGTTTGGTGACGTGATAGATTGGGTGATCAGGTTTGGCGACTCGATGGATTGGGTGATCAGGTTTGGTGACGTGATGGATTGGATGATCAGGTTTGGTGACTCGATGGATTGGGTGATCAGGTTTGGTGACTTGATGGATTGGGTGATCAGGTTTGGTGACGTGATAGATTGGGTGATCAGGTTTGGCGACTCGATGGATTGGGTGATCAGGTTTGGTGACATGATGGATTGGGTGATCAGGTTTGGTGACTCGATGGATTGGGTGATCAGGTTTGGTGACGTGATGGATTGGGTGATCAGGTTTGGTGACTTGATGGATTGGGTGATGAGGTTTGGCGACTCGATGGATTGGGTGATCAGGTTTGGTGACTCGATGGATTGGGTGATCAGGTTTGGTGACTCGATGGATTGGGTGATCAGGTTTGGTGACGTGATGGATTGGGTGATCAGGTTTGGTGACTTGATGGATTGGGTGATGTGGTTTGGTGACTCGATGGATTGGGTGATCAGGTTTGGTGATGTGATGGATTGGGTGATCAGGTTTGGTGACATGATTGATTGGGTGATCAGGTTTGGTGACTTGATGGATTGGGTGATCAGGTTTGGTGACGTGATGGATTGGGTGATCAGGTTTGGTGACTCGATGGATTGGGTGATCAGGTTTGGTGATGTGATGGATTGGATGATCAGGTTTGGTGACATGATGGATTGGGTGATCAGGTTTGGTGACTTGATGGATTGGGTGATGTGGTTTGGTGACTCGATGGATTGGGTGATCAGGTTTGGTGATGTGATGGATTGGGTGATCAGGTTTGGTGACATGATTGATTGGGTGATCAGGTTTGGTGACTTGATGGATTGGGTGATCAGGTTTGGTGACGTGATGGATTGGGTGATCAGGTTTGGTGACTCGATGGATTGGGTGATCAGGTTTGGTGATGTGATGGATTGGATGATCAGGTTTGGTGACATGATTGATTGGGTGATCAGGTTTGGTGACTTGATGGATTGGGTGATCAGGTTTGGTGACGTGATGGATTGGGTGATCAGGTTTGGTGACTCGATGGATTGGGTGATCAGGTTTGGTGATGTGATGGATTGGATGATCAGGTTTGGTGACATGATTGATTGGGTGATCAGGTTTGGTGACTTGATGGATTGGGTGATCAGGTTTGGTGACGTGATGGATTGGGTGATCAGGTTTGGTGACTCGATGGATTGGGTGATCAGGTTTGGTGACTTGATGGATTGGGTGATCAGGTTTGGTGACGTGATAGATTGGGTGATCAGGTTTGGCGACTCGATGGATTGGGTGATCAGGTTTGGTGACATGATGGATTGGGTGATCAGGTTTGGTGACTCGATGGATTGGGTGATCAGGTTTGGTGACGTGATGGATTGGGTGATCAGGTTTGGTGACTTGATGGATTGGGTGATGAGGTTTGGCGACTCGATGGATTGGGTGATCAGGTTTGGTGACTCGATGGATTGGGTGATCAGGTTTGGTGACTCGATGGATTGGGTGATCAGGTTTGGTGACGTGATGGATTGGGTGATCAGGTTTGGTGACTTGATGGATTGGGTGATGTGGTTTGGTGACTCGATGGATTGGGTGATCAGGTTTGGTGATGTGATGGATTGGGTGATCAGGTTTGGTGACATGATTGATTGGGTGATCAGGTTTGGTGACTTGATGGATTGGGTGATCAGGTTTGGTGACGTGATGGATTGGGTGATCAGGTTTGGTGACTCGATGGATTGGGTGATCAGGTTTGGTGATGTGATGGATTGGATGATCAGGTTTGGTGACATGATTGATTGGGTGATCAGGTTTGGTGACTTGATGGATTGGGTGATCAGGTTTGGTGACGTGATGGATTGGGTGATCAGGTTTGGTGACTCGATGGATTGGGTGATCAGGTTTGGTGACTCGATGGATTGGATGATCAGGTTTGGTGACATGATGGATTGGGTGATCAGGTTTGGTGACATGATGGATTGGGTGATCAGGTTTAGTGACTCGATGGATTGGGTGATCAGGTTTGGTGACGTGATGGATTGCAGGTCACTGTTCCCAAACAGTGTTTCTCAAACATATCAAGCACTGAATTGTCTGGTCCACACTCAATTATTTACATGCTCTACCATCATTTAGCTTAGTATGATGTTAAACAACAAACAAAACAAACAAAGGAATACAGATAACAATATAAGAGTCAGTAGTTTGCAAAGTTTTCACAGTTGAATTATTTTGGTTACTATCTTTACTCACATGTTCAGGAATATTTGTTTTTGATTTTTATTTAACGCTACTCTTAGTAATATTCCAGCTATATGAGGACAGTTTGTAAATAATTGAGTCTGAACCAAGCAATCTAGTGATTTACATCTTGATCATCGATCTACGCATTTGGGATACAATGGCATGCATCAATCAAGTCAGCGAGCCTGACAAACTGATCCCCTTAGTTGCCTCTTGCGACAAGCATGGGTTGCTGAAGACCAATCCTGACCCAGATCTTAAAAGGGTGGGGAAATATTAAGGGGGATTAAGGTGCACAATTTTCCATTCCCATCCAATCTCAAGGTATGGCTACTGCCCCAAACCAACACAGTCCTTTCCATCTTATAGTCTCACTGGAGTTATTACCTCAATTTAGAGGTGATATTGTCATGCCTGAAGCAAGCCATTGATTGAGACTCCCAATGAGCGTTGCGGATGCTGTGTGTGGCACAAACCGACAAAGATTCCAAGTTGAGGTCTATGGATATTGATCTGTCCGGAAAATACAAGAATACTTATTTTCCCTCTCAACTGAGACATACACAGAAAACTATGAATACCAGTAGGAATGAATTACATCATCAGATAGAAGCTCTTGGGGTTCTTTATGTGTGTCACAAGATGGTTTCCAAAATGAAATCGGTTCCAACAGAAGTAAATTGTGAAATCAGTAAATCACGAAACACAATAATGAATAGTCAATAAATTATATTGAAACACAGAGTTTAAGGTTTACAATAAAAAAAAAAGGTAATATGATGGGTCGAATAAGTGGAACAGTAAGTAACAGGCCTTAAAATTAATGTAAGTGGACTCTGTAATGTTCAGAATTTTAGCACTGTCGAATGTCTTGATATAAGCCTGGCTCCGTTCTTGAATCCGGAATAGTGTTCAAAGGTGGCAGGAATTTGCTGTTTTAATAAGGTATCCAGTTGCACTTGGCTTGTAGATAAGATGCAAGTAAGATTAAGAAAAGGCCCTGATCTTGATCTCATACAGATATAGCCAGCCTTTTAGAAACTGTTCCATCTCAAAACTTCTTGAATGATCAGGGGGCACGGGTGGCCCAGTTGTCTAAGGCGCCGCGATTCGCTGTGCAGACTTGCGTCCCTTGGGCACGCCACAAACCTGTGATTGCGGGTTCGAATCCGGTTCACCCCGATTATGTTTCTAGGTTTGTCAGCACCATACCCGTGCTCGTGGGTTTCACTGAAGTGGTAAACGTCTGAGACCTGCATCACTTCAGGCTTTCCTCCCACATTAAGCTGACACGCTGTGATATAACTGGAATACTGTTAAAAGCAGCGTTAAACCCAACTCACTCACTCACTCACTCACTCACTCTTGAATGATCAAGCCTGTTGTGTTTGTAAACTAGGGCTGGGACAAGTCCAAATTTACTACCCGGGTACCCACCCCCTATTACCCGACCCAACCCAGGTACCCACTGTAGGTCTCAGGAGATGTCTCAAAATGTCCGAATGGGAACATTTTTAGCATAGCCCTGGCAAAATGTATTTAGATACAAGTATTAAACTATCTGGTCATTCATACACTGAAGTTGAATTAAGTTATATCTTTATTCAAACATATGAAAAATCAGAAGGAATGGGTGCTCAGTCAGAAAGAAATGCGAACATTAGTGACTTGTAGTTTAACCATAGAGTTCTAGATAATTTTTGTCATTAAACAATATATCACGTGACTAACCACGGGTCCGGGTAGTCCTGTGGGTACCCGGGTCCTACTCAGTACCCACCCAACCCAGGAACCCGAGTTACCCATTCCATCCCTATCGTAAACAACCAGGGGCAGATTACTCCAAATTCCACTTTTGAAAGTAGGGTACAACATCCTTGCTCTCTTTGTTAATGCTGCGATTAGCTGTGATCAGATTATATGTAAATAATTGAGTCTGGACCAGACAATCCTTTGATCGACATGATGTGCATCGATCTATTCAATTGGGATACGATGACATGCATCAACCATGTCGCAAACCTGACTACCCAATCCTGTTAGACCAATTCTAACCAGGATCTTCAGATAATACCTCATGCATATGAATACGTCCACTATTGAGGAAGGTGGTTACTCTCAGGGATCGATATATCCAAGCTGCATCAGTGCAGGTAAAACATTGTTAGTGCAGGTAACTTGTATTGCCAGCTTGCACCCAGTGCAGGTAACCTTTTTTCACCACAAGTGCATGGCAGCAGATATATTTTATAAAAGTGGAAATCTTCAATTTTTAGAACTGGCTGCAAATCTTTTAGAATCAAAGAAACAAAAGTTCATGAAAAAAGTGAAATACACAGATGGTCTGAATGCAGTGAACTTGCAGAACTAATTCTTCACAATTACCACTAGAACAGTCACTCATGAGGTTACAATCACAACAAGCAGACACTTTGAAACTTCTGTTTAAGGTTGTTTTCTGGAAATCAAGATGTGAAAAGCCAAATACAGATTTCCTCAAAATAAAATACTGGAGCACATTCTCAAGTTTATTTTCTCTTTGAATTTATTTAATATTCAAAATAACTGAAAATACAGTGTATGATAAAATGGTGCAGCCAATATTTTGGTGTTGCAGCCTGATTAAATCACTTGGTTGCACCTTGTGCAAGTGGTAAAATAGAATGAAATCGTATCCTGACAGTACTTGATGCTGGTTGTTTGCGTGTCATCGTACCCCAACCAAGTGTATGGTTGCCCCTACAAACAATAGTAATTTACTACTATTACAGGCTGCCAAACTGGAATATTTTTTAACGAGTGTATTCAACAAATTTCCTTACTCACTATGCCATGTTAGTGTGTTTCAACCACGCCATGTCCAAAAGCCCTTTAAATCCTATCCTTCTATCCCCATTAATGTTATAATGATAGTGCCAAATGCTGCAATTGTTAAAATTATGCAACCCCTGCAATTACCCATAACAAGCATAATGATTGCTGTCAGGCAGAAACAACTCTGTTATTACATGGTGTATGTATATAATCTGGTAATTATTCCCCGTCTTTATTCCGTCACCCCGAAGCTCCCAAGACACGCAGATGCAATCCATTCACGCAGCAAGCGCGATCTGCTGACTAGATAATTGTCGGTGAGACATCTGCCAGGCGTCGTCATTATTTTCAGGATTCTTCTATAATGACTGATAATTATCTGTCCTGCCGTGTCTGATTATTCATGAGCGTTTATTTCCCTCCTGTCTGACTATGTCTTGTACGTGTGCATAGGGTGTCTTCAGGACCAGTTGCTTGTGCTATTTGATTACATGTTACGGTGAATGGGGATTGCGATTGTATTAAGGGGAGATAAAAAAATAATTTTTTTCAGTTTATGTGATATACTACTTTGCAATTGAACAATGGAATCAAATATTATGTATCACCTAAAACTGAGATTGCTACAATGAAAGTTCATCCCGTGTTTTGGTGGCCATTGTACATCATCGGTTACCATGACATCCCAATCAAATTAATAACATCACTACTCTCTCTGTCTCTGAAGCTGGTTAGTTGTAACGTTACTAATGGTATGCTTGTGTTCCTTGTCAGAACCTCTGGTCTGTGGAATGGTCACATATTGTATGCTTGCGTTCCTTGTCAGATCCTCTAGTCTATTGAATGGTCACATATTGTATGCTTGCGTTCCTTGTCAGATCCTCTGGTCCATTGAATGGTCACATATTGTATGCTTGCGTTCCTTGTCAGATCCTCTGGTCTATTGAATGGTCACATATTGTATGCTTGCGTTCCTTGTCAGAACCTCTGGTCTATTGAATGGTCACATATTGTATGCTTGTGTTACTTGTCAGAACCTCTGGTCTATTGAATGGTCACATATTGTATGCTTGCGTTCCTTGTCAGAACCTCTGGTCTATTGAATGGTCACATATTGTATGCTTGCGTTCCTTGTCAGATCCTCTGGTCTGTGGAATGGTCACATATTGTATGCTTGTGTTCCTTGTCAGATCCTCTGGTCTATGGAATGGTCACATATTGTATGCTTGTGTTCCTTGTCAGAACCCTGGTCTATGGAATGGTAGCTTTAATATATTATATGCTTGTGTTTCTTGTCAGAACCCTGGTCTATTGAATGGTCACATATTGTATGCTTGTGTGCCTTGTCAGAACCTCTGGTCTATTGAATGGTCACATATTGTATGCTTGTGTGCCTTGTCAGAACCTCTGGCCTATTGAATGGTCACATATTGTATGCTTGTAATCCTTGTCAGAACCTCTGGTCTATTGAATGGTCACATATTGTATGCTTGTAATCCTTGTCAGATCCTCTGGTCGTTGGAATGGTCGCATATTGTATGCTTGTGTTCCTTGTCACGAACCCTGGTCTGTGGAATGGTCACATATTGTATGCTTGTGTTCCTTGTCAGAACCCTGGTCTATGGAATGGTCACATATTGTATGCTTGTGTTCCTTGTCAGAACCCTGGTCTATGAAATGGTCACATATTGGATGCTTGTGTTCCTTGTCAGAACCCTGGTCTATTGAATGGTCACATATTGGATGCTTGTGTTCCTCGTCAGATCCTCTGGTCTGTGGAATGGTCACATATTGTATGCTTGTGTTCCTTGTCAGAACCCTGGTCTATGGAATGGTAGCTTTAATATATGATATGCTTGTGTTCCTTGTCGGATCCTCTGGTCTGTGGATTGGTCACATATTGGATGCTTGTGTTCCTTGTCAGATCCTCTGGTCTTTGGAATGGTCACATATTGTATGCTTGTGTTCCTTGTCAGAACCTCTGGTCTATTGAATGGTAATTTATTGAATGCTTGTGTTCCTTGTCAGATCCTCTGGCCTATTGAATGGTCACATGTTGTATGCTTGTGTGCCTTGTCAGAACCTCTGGTCTATTGAATGGTCACATATTGTATGCTTGTGTTCCTTGTCAGAACCTCTGGTCTATGGAATGGTAACTTATTGGATGCTTGTGTGCCTTGTCAGATCCCTCAGCTGCAGAAGCACACTCCACCCCCGTCTGGACTGTACCGGACCCCCTCAGAGTTCGACCGCATCAATAGACAGAAGGAGGTCAACCGCAGAGCTGCCGAGGTACTACAGCCAGCAACAAGTTCCTTCAGCTAGAATCGACTCACTGTTAATTCATAAGAGAATCAATCTTGTCAGAGCCAAACTGTCTGAATATCAGTTTCATATATAAATTATAAGCTGCTGGTCCATTGGAAATGACAGAAATCAAAGGAAATGTATGTTCAAATGATGTTAATTCCCATCTCAGGTGCAGAGTCTGTATATCGGAACTTTAATGTCACATATATAATGTTTCATGTATAATGTTTCATGTATAATGCCTCATGTATGTAATGCTTCAGGAGAGGCTGATGGAAGCATCCAGGATTCAGTTTGCGTGTGCCAACCCAGAGAAGTCTCAGAAGGCAAAGGAAGTTCTCAATAACATCATGTCAGAAGAGGACTGCAAACTGGACTTTGACAAGCATAAAGCCCACCCTGTGCCTGGATTTCTGGTGAGTTCTGGAATATGCAAACATAAACCATCCTGTCCTAGAACACACCAACATGAAGCCACCCTGTCCTAGAACATACCAACATGAAGGCACCCTTTCCTAGAATATACCAACATAAACCATCCTGTCCTAGAACATACCAACATGAAGCCACCCTGTCCTAGAATATACCAACATGAAGCCACCCTGTCCTAGAATATAGCAACTTTAAGCCACTCTGTCCTAGAACATACCAACATAAAGCCATCCTGTCCTAGAACATACCAACATAAAGCCACCCTGTCCTAGAACATACCAACATAAAGCCATCCTGTCCTAGAACATAGCAACTTTAAGCCACTCTGTCCTAGAACATACCAACTTAAAGCTAACCTGTCCTAGAACATAGCAACTTTAAGCCACTCTGTCCTAGAACATACCAACTTAAAGCTAACCTGTCCTAGAACATAGCAACTTTAAGCCACTCTGTCTTTGATATATAAGTAAAGGCAACCTGTTGTGTGGGGTCCTGGTGACTCCTTGAATGTACATCCAACCGTGTTGAGACACTGCTATAAACATGGTTAGCACTCTGGGTAAAATGTCTGTTTTAGGGTACAGTTCTGTCTGAATGACTTAACTGTATTTGGAGTAACTTGAATACAGTTTTAGGTTAGTGACCTCCTTAACTTATTTTCAGACCAAGGAGGTTCCAGTTAAACTGAATGCGGCCAGTATTCTCAGAGAAGGCTTGCTGTACCATCGCAAAGAGTCTGAGGAGATGAAGAAGTAAACATTTTAGTACATCTGATTTGTAGAATGCTGAGACGAAACGAAGTAGTTTGACAAGAATGCATTATGACAAATGAGTATATATTTGATAGTGTTAGTATGTTCTGTGATATGGTAAATGATTCTTTGTTACTTAGATTGCTTGTGTTAAAATTATGACTCTTCTCAAGCTGTCAGTTTGCACTATGGAGTTATCTCCCCTGATGTGTTTTTCTTTAGGTGTGTTTCAATGCTTGAAGACAGAAAGCAAAAATATTTTTAATCTGAGGCATGAAGTAAATGGTTAAGTGACTGGTCATTTATTTTAGTGTGGTGGTGGGCCAGTTTTCTCTCTTGTTGGTAATGTTGGTGCAAAGATTTGTTTCCTTTAAGAAGACAATGGTTTTGCTGGAGACAAATGACAATAGGACATTTTGATGATTTTATTAAGTTTTGATAAAACATTATTTTATATCATTAACAAATTTGATTAATACCTTTAGTCAGTGTCCTAGAACATGAAGAGATGTGAAACCCTGTTTACGATTGTGGGTGTGTTGTAATAAGCCACCTTCCCGAGGCAAGGGAGTGAACTGACTATAAAAGTCCCGTTTCCACCCTTGCAGAACTAGGCTGGAATTATGGAGCTATATTTTGTCTGGACTCGCAAGTATGCATAGTCGAAATCACATAACGAAAACAACATCTGGTTCGTAAACTCCAGCGCAGATTTCGGTCGACTCCAGGATTTGCAAAGCATGTGTACCATCAACTTAGCATCAACAGATTTCTTTCAAATCTTGGCATGTTTTTAATCAAGGTGCTCTTGTGATTTGATACACTTTGCAAAGTAAGACCTGTTAGCAATGACTGCGAAAATGCAGTATAAAAAAAAGTCATGTCAAACAGCATGTGTTGCGCTTCGGTGCTCTTCAGAACACATCAGGGAAGAATTCTACCTTTGCAGTTTTGTGATTTGTAATTTGTGTTATGTCAGTTGAGGGAAAACAGTTCTGTGTAGCCTCATCCCAAATTCTTCGGTCCTCCTGCACCATGTGAACTGGCACCTGTTCATTTAGCCAAATAGACAATCAGCTGCATATTGTTTGGCTTTATGTTGCTAACACTGCTAACTTTGTTTGGTTGCATTTCCACAGTCAACCGATGTTCTTGTCAGGGTTCGGGGGCACGGGTGTCCCAGTCGTCTAAGGCGCCGCGATTCGCTGTGCAGAGTTGCGTCCCTTGGGCACGCCAGAAACCTATGATTGTGGGTTCGAATCCCGGTTCGCCCCAATTATGTTTCTAGGTTTGTCAGCACCATACCCGTGCTCGTGGGTTTCACCGAAGTGGTAAACGTCTGAGCCAATCATCATTTTGGGCTTTCCTCCCACATTAAGCTGACACGCCGTTATGTAACTGGAATAATGTTAAAAGCGGCGTTAAACTCAACTCACTCACTCTTGTCAGGGTTCACAATCAGCCAATCAAATGCTAGAATAACTGAAAAGTGACAACTGAACATATCAGAAATATGTACACCAATGGGTTTTACCCTGTGGGCAATTATGTCCAAAACTATTTATGCATTTATCAATAAACTTGGTATGCATTCTCTAAAAGACAGACAGACAGGGTCCTTTGTTTATTAGGTTTTGATTAAGATTAGTCAAAGGTCAAGGTCAGCATTCATTTTTTTGTAAAACATGGTAATATTTTGTCAGGTAGTCTCTATTTTTAGTTTCCAAAGTTAATAAGAAATACTACGTTTGTTGATATGTGGTCCCGATGGATGTCACTAATGAGGTTAATGCATACCATTATGGAACCTTTTTCGAGTAACATTTCAATGTTGATTTTGAATTTCCGATGTAAGGAATTGTTTTGATATTGTGTTTTGATGTTTAATCAGTCATTTTTTCTACTTATTTGAGCTTCATTGATCTAGTTTCAAAATGGTCACGCTGCCATGATATGCTGTATTAGTAGCATCAAACAAACATGGCGGATGGGTATCCAGTGTTCTGTGGTGTACCTAAAGTAAGACTAGAACATGACACGATCCCTGTGATGTTGCAGGCTGGAGAACCTGGAGGCTGGGGCGCGAGATTCCTCTGCTTTTATGCGCTGGCAATCCGATATGAGGCAGCGGGACTTGGAGGTGCAATTGGCGGAAATTGAGCGCCGGCGCCTTGAGGGCAAGCTAAGCCATGAAGAGGCCATCTTGGCCCGACAGAACCTGATCCGGGACAACAAGAGCAAAGTACAGGACATGAAGAAAGAGGTAGGTCACATGCTCCATTTGTCACTTGTCAAACTATAAATTCCCCAAACAAATAATTTTTCTATCACGAGTCTGCATTCTAACATGATGCTAATAAACATTTTTTACGATGTGATGAATATGTTTCTTAGATTTGTGGTAATATGAAATTATTCAAAACAATCCTAACCTTTGAACATCTTAAGTGAGTGTACTGTGCCACTGCCAGTACTTAGATAGGATGACATCCTCTCAATTCAATATTAAATGGATTGCCTCTGTGATCTAGTGGCTAGAGCATCTGCCCTGAGATCGCCTCTGTGGTCTAGTGGCTAGAGCATCTGCCCTGAGACCGCCTCTGTGGTCTAGTGGCTAGAGCATCTGCCCTGAGATCGCCTCTGTGATCTAGTGGCTAGAGCATCTGCCCTGAGACCGCCTCTGTGATCTAGTGGCTAGAGCATCTGCCCTGAGATCGCCTCCATGGTCTAGTGGCTAGAGCATCTGCCTGAGATCGCCTCTGTGGTCTAGTGGCTAGAGCATCTGCACTTGGACCGCCTCCATGGTCTTGTGGATATCTGCCCTGAGATTGCCTTTATGGTCTAGTGGCGAGAGCATCTGCCCTGAGATCGCCTCTGTGGTCTAGTGGCTAGAGCTTCTGCCCTTGGACTGCCTCTATGGTCTAGTGGATATCTGCCCTGAGATTGCCTCTGTGGTCTAGTGGCTAGAGCATCTGCCCTGAGATCACCTCTGTGGTCTAGTGGCTAGAGCTTCTGCCCTTGGACCGCCTCTATGGTCTAGTGGATATCTGCCCTGAGATTGCCTCTGTGGTCGTGGCTAGAGCATCTGCACTTGGACCGCCTCCATGGTCTAGTGGCTAGAGCATCTGCCCTGAGATCTCCTCTATGGTCTAGTGGCTAGAGCATCTGCCCTGAGATCTCCTCTATGGTCTAGTGGCTAGAGCATCTGCCCTGAGATCACCTCTGTGCTTTAGTGGATAGAGCATCTGCCCTGAGATCGCCTCCATGGTCTAGTGGCTAGAGCATCTGCCCAGACATTGCCTCCATGGTCTAGTGGATATCTGTACTTGGACCACCTCCATGGTCTAGTGGATATCTGCCCGAAATGTGGAAGGTCAGTGGTTCGATCCCCTGTCTGCATCAATGGTACTTGTTGTTTCCCTCCCTGGTGCTCGGCATTATTGGGATAAATCAAGTACTGGTTGGATTAGAGTCAGTATCCATGTTAAACTGCAGCATGGCATCTCAGTGGGCTAGAACCTATGAAACCGTCATTCCAGACATGTATAAGCAGCCACACACACACACGCTTATGCATGCACGTAACTTTTTAAGTACCATAATCTTGAACTAGAGGTTAGACCCATTTCACCTGACCTCAATGGTGACTTAACGATGGTGCTTTGTTTCTTCTTTTAGACTGAGGAGCTGATGAAGGAGTTCCTGGAGAAGAAGTTCCAAGAGGAGCAGATGATGAAGTGAGTCATGAGGCCGAGCTAGTCCCAGAGTTAAGACATAATTTACCTCACCGTAGTTCAGTGAAACTTTTATGGTCCACTATGGACCGCCTCCATGGTCCAGCATCTGCCTGGAGAGCTGATGGTTGTGGGTCAATCCCCGGCCTTGTCATACCAAAAGACGTTAAAAGATGGTACTTGGCGTTCGGCATAAGGGGCTAAAACTAGGACTGGTCGGCTAGGAGTCAGTATACTGTGTCTGAGTGGGATATTCATGTTAAACTGCGGCATGGTATCTCAGTTGGCTAGCACTATAATATCGGCATTAGTCTGCAAGCAGCCACACACAGACACAAACACACAGAGCTACGTTAAGCCCCATTTCTCCTACAGCATGTGTGATGTGGAGGGTGATGAGTGATAACAAGTGGTACTATTTTCCAGACAACTTGTGGAGGACACAATGCAGGGTCACAGAAACGCCAAGGATGCAAAAAAGAAATTACAGGAGTACAAACAGAAAATAGGTTGGTGTGATTGTATTAACAAATGTGAACTTGTCATATTGGCTCCATGGGAATCCTGGGTAGAATTGGTCCAAAATATCCTATATCCTATGCTTATCATATCAGGTAGAATTGGTCCCAATTAACCTATGGCTGTCATATTACACCCCAATGGGAATAATGGGTGGAATTGGTCCAAAAAAAATCGATGCTTGTCATATTGCCCTGCAATGGGAATTATCAGTGGAATTGGTCCCAAATAATATATGCTTGTCATATTGCCCTGCAATGGGAATTATGGGTGGAATTTGTCCCGTGTAAGCTGTGCTTGTCATATTGCCCCCATGGGAATTATCGGTGGAATTTGTCCCGTATAAGCTATGCTTCTCATATTGCCCACATGGGAATAATGGGTAGAATTTGTCCCAAGTAAGCTGTGCTTCTCATCTTGCCCCCATGGGAATTATGGGTGGAATTTGTCCCAAGTAAGCTGTGCTTGTCATATTGCCCCCATGGGAATTATTGGTGGAATTTGTCCCGTGTAAGCTGTGCTTGTCATATTGCCCAATGGGAATTATGGGTGGAATCTGTCCCGTGTAAGCTATTCTTCTCATATTGCCCCCATGGGAATTATGGGTAGAATTTGTCTCAAGTAAGCTGTGCTTGTCCTATTGCCCTGCAATGGGAATTATCAGTGGAATTGGTCCCAAATAATATATGCTTGTCATATTGCCCTGCAATGGGAATAATGGGAAGAATTTGTCCCAAGTAAGCTGTGCTTCTCATATTGCCCCCATGGGAATTATGGGTGAAATTTGTCCCGTGTAAGCTATTCTTCTCATATTGCCCACATGGGAATTATGGGTAGAATTTGTCTCAAGTAAGCTGTGCTTCTCATATTGCCCTGCAATGGGAATTATCGGTGGATTTGGTCCCATGTAAGCTGTGCTTGTAATATTGCCCCCATGGGAATTATGGGTGGAATTTGTCCCGTGTAAGCTGTGCTTGTCATATTGCCCCCATGGGAATTATCGGTGGAATTTGTCCCGTATAAGCTATGCTTCTCATATTGCCCACATGGGAATAATGGGTAGAATTTGTCCCAAGTAAGCTGTGCTTCTCATCTTGCCCCCATGGGAATTATGGGTGGAATTTGTCCCAAGTAAGCTGTGCTTGTCATATTGCCCCCATGGGAATTATTGGTGGAATTTGTCCCGTGTAAGCTGTGCTTGTCATATTGCCCAATGGGAATTATGGGTGGAATCTGTCCCGTGTAAGCTATTCTTCTCATATTGCCCACATGGGAATTATGGGTAGAATTTGTCTCAAGTAAGCTGTGCTTGTCCTATTGCCCTGCAATGGGAATTATCAGTGGAATTGGTCCCAAATAATATATGCTTGTCATATTGCCCTGCAATGGGAATAATGGGTAGAATTTGTCCCAAGTAAGCTGTGCTTCTCATATTGCCCTGCAATGGGAATTATCGGTGGATTTGGTCCCATGTAAGCTGTGCTTGTCATATTGCCCCCATGGGAATTATGGGTGGAATTTGTCCCGTGTAAGCTGTGCTTGTCATATTGCCCCCATGGGAATAATGGGTAGAATTTGTCCCAAGTAAGCTGTGCTTCTCATCTCGCCCCCATGGGAATTATGGGTGGAATTTGTCCCGTGTAAGCTATTCTTCTCATATTGCTCACATGGGAATTATGGGTAGAATTTGTCTCAAGTAAGCTGTGCTTGTCCTATTGCCCTGCATTGGGAATTATCAGTGGAATTGGTCCCAAAAAATATACGCTTGTCATATTGCCCTGCAATGGGAATAATGGGTAGAATTTGTCCCGTGTAAGCTGTGCTTGTCATATTGCCCTGCAATGGGAATTATGGGTGAAATTTGTCCCGTGTAAGCTATTCTTCTCATATTGCCCACATGGGAATTATGGGTAGAATTTGTCTCAAGTAAGCTGTGCTTGTCATATTGCCCTGCAATGGGAATTATCAGTGGAATTGGTCCCAAATAATATATCTTGTCATATTGCCCTGCAATGGGAATAATGGGTAGAATTTGTCCCAAGTAATCTGTGCTTCTCATATTGCCCTGCAATGGGAATTATCGGTGGATTTGGTCCCATGTAAGCTGTGCTTGTCATATTGCCCAATGGGAATTATGGGTGGAATTTGTCCCGTGTAAGCTATTCTTCTCATATTGCCCCCATGGGAATTATGGGTAGAATTTGTCTCAAGTAAGCTGTGCTTGTCATATTGCCCTGCAATGGGAATTATCAGTGGAATTGGTCCCAAATAATATATCTTGTCATATTGCCCTGCAATGGGAATAATGGGTAGAATTTGTCCCAAGTAATCTGTGCTTCTCATATTGCCCTGCAATGGGAATTATCGGTGGATTTGGTCCCATGTAAGCTGTGCTTGTCATATTGCCCCCATGGGAATTATGGGTGGAATTTGTCCCGTGTAAGCTATTCTTCTCATATTGCCCCCATGGGAATTATGGGTAGAATTTGTCTCAAGTAAGCTGTGCTTGTCATATTGCCCTGCAATGGGAATTATCAGTGGAATCGGTCCCAAATAATATATGCTTGTCATATTGCCCTGCAATGGGAATAATGGGTAGAATTTGTCCCAAGTAAGCTGTGCTTCTCATATTGCCCTGCAATGGGAATTATCGGTGGATTTGGTCCCATGTAAGCTGTGCTTGTCATATTGCCCCCATGGGAATTATGGGTAGAATTTGTCCCATGTAAGCTTGTAAAAGACAATCACAATACTTTCTATCATGGTTGCCTTCACTGTCTTGTCAAATGGGCAGTCTGAAGTTATGAAATGATAGTTGATATACTTGCAATGTACTACCCTGTGGAGACTTGGGTTAGGCTGGGTCCCCAGCACTGTAATGTTTGTGGTAAGACATGACTACATCAGATGGCGTGGTCAGGTTCAGTGACTTGGTTTATTGCTTGTCATCATATACCCCGGGGCACTGGACATTACTCATTACATGAACAACAGCTTGTCTGTCCTTGACTTCATTATTAACAGGTTGTTGTTGTAGGGGTGAAATATTGCTGACTGCTGAGTAGAACAACATTCACTCATTTGTATCGCTGTTGAGGTTGAAAGTCTCTGAATTATGCGTTTTCCTTTGACTTTTTACTATGAGTATAATCAGCTCTCTTACATTGAAACTCTGTGATGTGTTGTTCATCATGTATATTTTTCTTGTCTACAGTTCAGGAGGTGACCGAGGAGAGTCGAGAGCTGATGAGGAAAGCTTTGGAGAAGGTATGAATAGGACTGATGTAATTGCTTGTTGTTGTTTTTAAAACTGACCACAGCCAAGAGCTACAAATGGAAAATATAAACATACTTGATGGAAAAGAACATTAAAAAACATTGAATGATAAGCATGATCAAAAATCACATCTTTTTTTTAAGTAATAACAGATCAAATGCATGGAGCAGTCTTTAGCCACTGCAAACACAGACCTGCATACTTTTCCTTAACACCTTCAAATACAAAACCTCTATTACATCATTGCCAGAAATCCTATATTTCATATGTCATCACACAATAAATATCTTTAGATTTTCAACAAAAGTCTTCTTCACTGTCAACTGTCCACAACTAGTTGAGATACTAATAGTATGTGTGTGTGTTAGTATGTGTGTGTGTTAGTGTCGGTGTGTGTTAGTGTGTGTTAGTGTGTGTGTGTGTAAACAGCGTATTGTTGTCAGGTCATAGATTTCACACATGAATCCAGACCTTTATGTTTGCCACATTACAGAGCTCCAAATAAGCTTTTGGTGTTGTGGGTATTTTACCCATGCATTTTAAAATCATTGGGTATCAGTAATTCTATCTGGGTATTCAAATTTCTGTTACTCACTAGTTTTTACACATGTGGGTATTTAAGTTAAATATTTAAAAACACTATTCATCTAGTCCCTGCAAACTGTTGTCGTGTAGGTTTGAGAGCTTTATAGGACTCAAAAATACCGCGATACTTCCACAAGAAAGTGTGATGGCAAATGATCATGATGTAACTGTCATCGTGGAGTTTGGCAAGGTTGACGGAATGTCCGTATATAATTTCAAAATAAGTTGCTGATTTGCTAATCAAATATGTAGGGTTACTTCACAATATTTTGATGATACGCGCTAGTTGTTTTTTTGTAGCGTATCTGTAATGTTCATTGCGTATTTGATACGCTTGAATTTTATTTCACTGCAAATTTCTGCATTTCTGGTGTGTATTTAACGCAGATACGCAGCTTATCTGGAGCTCTGCACATTAATGAAAAGTAGTCTGTGAATGGCTCTCTCTTAATGAAAAGTAGTTGGGTGATTGACTGAGTTATTTATTTGCAGAAGCGATGGATATTTTATATTACAAATGAAACAGTTATTTCTTCTTAGTACAGAATGTATGATTCAATGCAAAATCCCCTGAACAAGTACAACAAATACTGTATTCGACGTAATAAGCGCCCAGGGCACTCTCAAAATTAGGAATAGGGGGCTCTTATTAGAATATTATTTTGGTGAAAGATAAATTTTGGTGGTTTATGCTGACAGCCTGAAATGTTTATGTACGATAGATATATTTTTCCAGAATTAAATTCCCCATAATTAAGGGGAGTGTGTATTATACGCGTATAAATAAGCCTTGTGTACATTGATCAATTGGAAGGGGTGCTAATTGGGATTGTTCACTAGCCAATATATTAGCAAATATCGCCATGGGCGCTTATTAGAGCGGGGCGCTTAGTACATCGAATACGGTAAGCTTGATTCTACTCTAACTTTGAATTGCCCCAATATTCTAACACTAGCTACAGGGAGATGTAAATATTAAAAGCACAAGTTGATGACTTTGAACTGAGCTTACAAAACATTCCGACAGGGTGAAGATAGATTATTGATACAAACAGACAATTTCTTTGGAATTAAAAAGGAGCCCCAGTGAGATAGGATGAAATGTGGAAAATCTAGACTTGCTTCATTTAGGGTTAGGGCTGGGCTGAAGGGGAAGTAATATGGTGGAGGGACTGTGAGGCAGACAGTGGAGAAGAGAACTGTTGGAGAGGCCAGTCACTGGCCTTACATGGTGACATTCTCCGGCACTTTGTTTCAGGCGGAGATTGAGATGAGGCGCAAGATGGAGCTAATCCATCAGATACGTGCAATGGAGGCCGTCCCGGCAATCAGACAGAAGTTTGTGGACCTGACATCTACAGCAGGCATGGGGCTGCTGAGTGAGATGTCCATAGCTGAGGTAAGTCTATTGTAATCAGGGCAACTAACGGGATCGGGTGGTCAGGCTCGCCGACTTGGTTGACGCATGACCCAATTGCGTAGATTGACGCTCTTTATGTCAATCACTGGATTGTCTTGTCCAGATCTGATTGTTTACAGACTGCCATCACATAGCTTGAAATATTACTGAATGGCGTTAAACAACAAACAAACATTGTTTTCATATAGACTCGCAAAGGCTCAGCAGCAAATATTTGGTTTCATCCACTAAAATATTGCAGTGAATTTCTTGTTTCACAATAATTAGTAATTTAAAGACGGCTAATTGTTTGTCATCATTAATATTTAACAGCTGTTGTTATTTCTGGATTTCATCATTTTGAATATTTGTACCCTATTCTGTTCCCAATAAATGTCTTTGAACAATTAAAACTATTTCAGCTCTCTGAATAATAAAGCATATGTAGAAAGGATTGATTGTCGATTTAGGCATGCTGTACAACCTTTGGGAGTACACAGAGTTAGTTGTGTGTGTTCTGTTGTGCAGCTACAAGAGCGGCTGTGTCTCATGAAGACATCCCAAAAGGAGGAGGAAGAGCGTCGCCGTGACGATATCCTTGCATCCAAACAGGTCAGCACACCCCTCTTTGAGCTGTGTTATCAAAGTACCAATATCTAAAGAATTTTCTTACTTTATGTTTGTAATCTATTGTCAAACTAAGTCGAGTCCAAATTAAATTCATCAAGTCAAGTGACTAAACAGTTCCATGTATTATCTAAGGTTAGTTTTCATTTTGGTCAATACAATTTAAGATTTTTCTTTTGAATGCAATGTTCTTGTATAAACACCAGGGGATATAAACAGAAATATTTGAGGATTTCTTGCTTAAGTTGGCATCATTGTCTGTTTTAAAGAGGAAGTGTACACGCAAAAATCACTTTCTTTCTTTTTCTAAACAAAACGCAATTTTAGAATTAGTTAGTATCTGTGTTTGAAAATATACACTCATTTTTTTTCACAGTGAAAGTAGGAAGCTCACAATAGTGTTAAAATGATATGCCGTTATGAAGCCTTCGTTTTACAAGCGAAATAGGCCTGAGTTATCCCCCTTAGATTATGACGTAATTGGTGCCAATTCAACTGGGTCCCTGTCTATTCTCAACGCAAAAGATATCAAGGACCAGTTTGCGGTAAAACAACATGGTCTACGACACACTCGGCGCAGTGGTGACTCAGCATAACACAATTCTGGCTGGCATCTGAGACGCTAGAATCACAAAACTGTACCTACACCACGTGAAGCGGCTCTAACAAAGCATGATGACGTCATAATGTTTATCAATTGGCACCAATGACGTCATATTGCAAGGGGCATAAGCCATGGTGTTTCTGTTATGGAAATAGAACACTTGGTAAATGTGACAAATATAAATCGTTTTAATGCAAAAAATATGTTAATTAAATTTGATGTTTTTATATTTTTGTCTATGACACTTCTATGTTAACACTTTTAATGTGGAAAAAGTACAAGAAAAATTGGTTCATTTCCGTGTGAACTTGCCCTTTAACCATTGTAAAAGGTCCTTCAACTACAGTGTTTCCTCTTTTCCTCACAGGTTCTCAGCACTCTGCTGATTACGTGTCCTTCTACAATGACAACCTGCATCTTTGATCAGACCCACTGGTTGTCTGATCCCATCTTGATTAATTACAGGCTGCCAGGATATAGTAGAATGTTGCTGACATTTTTATAGCATAAAATAACAAACAAATCACGTGTTCCTATGTGTCTCTGTAGGCCAAAGATCAGCTTCTGTTGGATACACTGGAAACGATCTCGAAACACCGCACAGAGTTGACGAGGTCAGCTGCTCTCAAGTAAGTCCAACCATCTCTATTACCGTATTCGACGTAATAAGCGCCCACGACAATATTTGCTAATATATTGGCTAGTGAACAATCCCAATAAGCACCTCTTCCGATTGATCAATGTACACAAGACTTATTTATTCACGTATATTACGTACTCGTGTGTTATATGCACCCTTAATTATGGACAATTAAATTCTGGAAAAATATATCTGTTGTACATAAACATTTCAGGCTGTCAGCATAAACCACGAAATTTATGTTTCAACTCTGGTCTTCTTTCACCAAAATGATGTTCTAATAACAGCCCCCTATTTCTAATTTTGAGAGTGCCCTGGGCGCTTATTAAGTCGAATACGGTATAACAGCATAACCTGAAATACCTCACTATCTGGATTATTTTAGGTAAATGTACATTTATTCATAGTTGGTGAGTGAGTTTGGATGCCGCTTTTAGCAATATTCCAGCAATATCACGGAGAGGACATCAGAAACAGGCTTTACACATTGTAACCATGTGGGGAGTCGAACCTGTTTCTTCAGCGTGAAGAGGGAATGCTTTATCCGCTGAGCTATCCTAGGGTAAATCGCAAATAACGATGAACATTGTTCTATCATGACGTTATTTCTGGAGATTCAAACATGCGCTCACAACTTGATCACATTGTAAATTGGATGGGGAGCCAAATAATATTCCTGCAAGGGACACTAGATATGTCTTCACACACTGTACCCATGTGGGAATTAAAACCTTAAGCCTGTATGCCTAAGGCTTAAAAAATAAAAGAATTGTTTTTTGAAAATATAGTGCGGGTGGTGTTTCATTATTTTTCTTAGTTCAAACTACTATGTAAATAGTTGTGTAACCAAATACAATCAACCTGGGAAAGGGCCTCCCTACATAAATGTATTCCTTGATGAGTAAATTACTGGAATACAGTATTTGACTACCGTTGGACTTGGAAAATTGAAGGATTTTATAGGTTCTTTTAAAAATGAAAATAAAAACGAAATGTACGGCAAACTTTATGATGATGCGGGCGGTGCCTGAGAACCAAGACTTTTTTTAGCCGTAAATATTTTGTGCAAATAAAACACTAGCAGTCCTTCTGTGTTCACTGGACCGGCAACACTTAAAAATACCAGTAGGGTTTAATTTTACTGGTACATGGCCAATTTTCCTGGTAAATTACTGGCACTCAGTGGGTGGATGTCCTGAGGCTATGTAAGGTCTGTACATGACTGTTTGTCACTGCAGGCATGAGGAGAGGAAGAAGATGCGTGGCGTGAAGGTAGAGGTCAAGGATGAGAAGCTGACAGAGCTGCAGCGCCGCCTGGAGGAGAAGAAGGCTGAGAGACTTCAGGAACAAGCAAATGCAAAACTGGTGGCCAGTCGCCATTCGGCTCTGAGGACGCGTAGCCTCATCCACCAGAAGGTTTGTTTGTGTTTCTCCTGATGTACACTAACCCCTCCCCCTGCTGTGTTTCCCCTGTACACTAACCCCTCCCCCTGCTGTTTCCCCTGTACACTAACCCCTCCCCCTGCTGTGTTTCCCCTGTACACTAACTCCTCCCCCTGCTGTGTTTCCCCTGTACACTAACCCCTCCCCCTGCTGTGTTTCCCCTGTACACTAACCCCTCCCCCTGCTGTGTTTCCCCTGTACACTAACCCCTCCCCCTGCTGTGTTTCCCCTGTACACTAACTCCTCCCCCTGCTGTGTTTCCCCTGTACACTAACCCCTCCCCCTGCTGTGTTTCCCCTGTACACTAACCCCTCCCCCTGCTGTTTCCCCTGTACACTAACCCCTCCCCCTGCTGTGTTTCCCCTGTACACTAACCCCTCCCCCGGCTGTGTTTCCCCTGTACACTAACCCCTCCCCCTGCTGTGTTTCCCCTGTACACTAACTCCTCCCCCTGCTGTGTTTCCCCTGTACACTAACCCCTCCCCCTGCTGTGTTTCCCCTGTACACTAACCCCTCCCCCTGCTGTGTTTCCCCTGTACACTAACCCCTCCCCCTGCTGTGTTTCCCCTGTACACTAACCCCTCCCCCTGCTGTTTCCCCTGTATACTAACCCCTCCCCCTGCTGGGTGTCAAGGAAAGGTAGCCTATTTGTTCAAGGCACCGCAATTTGCTGTACAGAGTTGCTTCCCTTGTGCATGCTTGAAACCAATGTGAATTTGACCTGATTATGTTTTTAGGTTTGTCAGCACCATACTTGAGTTCATGGTTTTCACAAAGTGGTAAACATCTGAGACTTCATTTTGGGCTTTGGTCCGACGTCCATCTGGCACCCTGTGAAAAAAATGAAATACCGTTTAAAGGAGAGACTCACTCAATCTGGATTTCAGGATCACATGCTGAGAGCCAACTGCGGATTGGGTGGTTATGATATTCACTGGTGTATCATTGAACCCTACATCTTATACGTCATGCACTCAACCACTGACCCATACTATTGTTTTTATTACAGACTGCCATGATACGAATGTTGTACTTTCACTTGTGTTATCTCCATTGCAGCATTGCCTTGAGCAGAATCGATGGCAGGAACTTGAACAGTCAAGGGAGAAAAATGCAAGAGTATTATCACAAGGAGTTGCCAGTAGTAAATCCGCCAGTGGCCTCCGTGGAGCCAATGCAATTGCCATGACAACATGATGGAATAAAGAGCTATTTGCATTATTATTTCTGCTGTGATATCTAATGAAACCGTCCCTTATATTGTTATTGTGCAAACAACTTTGTAAATAATTAATAAGATTTGATATTTAATGAAACCGTCCATTGTATTGTTGTTGTACCAACAGATCTGTACATAATAACAAGCGTTTGTTTTTAATGAATACAAATGTTGCCAGTACACAGTGAATAAAGTTTATTATTTATATTTTAAGTCAGTTCATTTTGTGATGGGGGGTGGGGTAGCCTAATGGTTAATGCATTCACTTGTCATGTCAAAGGTCTAGGTTTGAATCCTCCCAAGGATATAATGTGTGAAGCCCATTTCTAGTGTCCCCCGCCATATTGCTGGAATACTGTAAAAAGAAACTTTAAACCATACTCACTCATGCACTTATATACTGAACAACAAAAGTTCCTGTGACAGTGAATAAGATTTAATGCAAAGTTATGTTTTTTACCAAATCTGAAACAATTTCGGTTTGCAACAGATAAAAGACTCCTGTAAGTGTTCAAATGGTTTAATTTGCCATACTGACTTCAGAAAATGTGTGATTTCATAAAAACCATGAACATGCCAAAATGTCAATTTACAAATCAATAGCGCGTGTGTCCACCTCTGGTTGCTATGCAAGCAACACATCTTCGTCTCGTGGAATGGACCAGGCGTCGCACAAAGTCCTGTGGGATATCTGTCCATATCTGATGGAGCATGTTTCGAAGTTCCTGGAGGGTCTGTGGAACACGTGGTTGATGTTGAAGGCACCGATCCATCTCATCCCACATGTGCTCGATTGGTGAGAGATCAGTGGAGCGATCTGGCCAGGGGATGACATCCACGTTGTTTTGTTGAAGAGAATCCTGGACAAGTCGAGCAATATGGGGCCGGGCGTTGTCATGTTGAAAGGTAATGCCTTGGCCATGACGACGCAAAAACGGTAGAACAACAGGGCCGATGATCTCGTCGCAGTAGCGCTGTCCATTGAGATTTCCCTCTACAACTATCAAACGGGTCCTCTGTCTTGCTGTAATCCCACCCAGTACCATAATGCTGCCGCCCCCAAACTGATCTTCTTCCATGACACAATGATTGACGTAACGTTCACCTCGACGTCAGTACACACGAGGTGAAAACGAGACTCGTCAGTGAATAGAACTTGTCCCCACTGCATGGCCGTCCAGCGTAGACGCTGTCTGCACCACTGTAGACGTGCTTGACGGTGGTTTCCTGTCAAAATGGGACGTCTGGCGGGTCTTCTGGCGAAAATCCCTGCACATCTGAGGCGACAACATACGGTTTGTGAAGATATTCGTCGAAGACCAGGGATGCTTCTTGCAGTCACTGTTGCTGGCTGGAATCAATTTCGTAGGTGTGTTGTTCGAATCCAGTTGTCTTGTCGATTATTGGTTACGCATGGCCTGCCACTCCGAGGATGGTCTCTCACCGCATTCATCTGTTGCCAACGTTGCCATAAACACCAAATGGTGTTTCTGTGGATGATAAATTGTTTTGCAACATCACGTTGACTCGATCCTGCTTCAAGTGTACCAATGGCTCGCAGTCACTCATCTTTGGACAGGCGTTGCATTTTGTAATGTTGAATAACTGCGTAATTTTGTTGTTTTTCTGAGTGGTTGTTGTCAGCACGATGCTAAACAATGCATATGGAATCCCGTTAACGCACATGTTTTTATACCCATTCTTGGGTTGTGAAATGCATGGGGCTTGCATATAAGTCAACTTTGGCATGGAATGAATGCATGCTTTTCTGTAGCATTTGCGTTTTTGTGACTTGACTCCATACATGTACTACAATATTGAAAACCAAACTTTAGAAAAAGAGCTGTGACTGATAGTGTTGTGTTTAAGGTAGGCTGAGCAATAAAATAAGATGACTAAAACTGCATTTATTTATGTACATGAATTATACTTAAAGGTAAAATGCGAAAAAAATATTCAAAATCTGTAAGTGACACAACTACTTGACAGTGAATCATAAACACATGCTCATGATATAGTCGGAATCGTGACTGCTTTTAGCAGATTTTCTATGGAATATGGAAAGGGTTTTGTCGCTGTTATTAAGGGTAGTCAGGGTATGGGTGAAATGTAGAGTTGTGTCCCTTAGATGGCAGGATTTGCTGGTCATGTATTCTAGTGTTGGTGTTAGTTGGTGTGTCAGCACCAGAACCAGAGAGGTAACGTCTACATCAGGATTACTTTAGGAGTCCTCCAACATCGTGCATAAGGTCGGTGGTTAGATCTTACAAACGATGTTAGAAGATAGTACTTGGCGTTACCCTACCTGGGATCAGCATAAAAGGTATAAAACAAGGATTGGTCGGCTCAGAGTCAGCATGCTGTGTCTTAGTGATATCCATATTAAACTGTAGCATGCTTAGACAGAGGACTAAGGGACTTTTGTTAGAAAGGCCAATAGACATTATGTGTTTTCAAATTTCACTGATGTTAGTGAGTATTCAACACATAGAAATCTTAACATTAAGTTTCTGGGTACTGAAAATCTCAAAACACATATTGTTGGCTTTCAAGTTTCTATACATGTATTTAGGTTGTCTATTTCTATGTTGCCAACATACACCATGGGAATTGGTCTTCAACAACCAATGCTTGTCATAAGAGGCGACTAACGGGATCGGGTGGTCAGGCTCGGTGACTCGGTTGATGCATGTCATCGTATCCCAATTGTGAGGATCGATGCTCATGATGTCAATCACTAGATTGTCTGGTTCAGACTCAATTATTTACAGACCGCTGTCATATAGCTGGAATATTGCTGAGTGCGGCGTTGAACAACAAACAAGAAACCTTGGCAAAACTCCTTCCAACCAAGGTTCTGTTTAAACGAAGGAAAAAGTCAAATTCTGTGAACCTTATTATCTGTTCACTTAAATCCCATCGTAAGATATGGCCAAAGATAATGAGTTTAACCAACCTGGCTGCTATCTCTTTACCCTTGACCAAATAAACAAGACAAACAAACAATAAATGTGTGACCTTAGCCACATTTTCTATCAGGACTTCCTTTGGGCAGAGTCGGATCCAGGAGTTTGAACATTTTGTAGGATCGGGTGACATACCCCCGGCTTAAAAGGTGACTCTATTTTTGGTGCTTCCAAATCCAATTTCTTGGTTGATAGAATCAACATACATATCACACAAACCTACCGTTGTGTAAGGGGTTGCGAAGATCATTCGACCATTACCTATCTTCATCAACATGTTGTTGGCCGTATAACAAACAAGTAAATGGAAACGAGAAACAAATCTGACCTGCACATAAAATTGTTTGGTTTTTCTTACGAATGTATTTTACGGAGTCTTCAAAGAGTCAAGGTTGACTCTCTTATAACAGGGTATGAAACTCCCAAAAATTTCAGCCAGACCACAGGACTGGCTAGCTCAAATACTTGCCAGCCCTGACCAAAACCTGCCCGCCCACTATAATCATATGTTTCTCAGGCTAATTTAATTAAAACTTTAAATTGAATTCATTGAACATGAAGTAATGCAAGAAAAGAAATAGCAAACACTTTTTAGGTCAGATTTGTATTTAATATCCTAGAATACATCATGTAAATATCCTTATTCCTAAATAGGGCCTAAATTTTAGGTTGTCTAAAAGCTAATGGGGTTTCTTTTTGGTTACATTTTATCATTCATCTTTACATGTGAATTAATGCTTATCATCGGGTAATATTTAGAATATTTTCACATATGAAATATAACCCGACTGTCGGGCAGGGGGATTTGAAAATCTGGCAGCCCGAGTTGAAATCAACCCGTCTCGGACGGTCGGGCAGGCAGGTATTTCGAACCCTGACTTATAACGACTGACGTCCATACCGGACAAAAAAGGTGTCCACTTTATGCAGACGGCGGCGCGTCAGTTCAAGGGAAGCAACTCCTTTCGGCTTATCTACCACATATATTGTGCATGCGCTTGCTATCCATACAGACATATCACTGTAATTAAAAATAAATCCCCTCACAATAATATGAATTTGTATAAGTGAAACTATCGGCTTTGATCCGTACGACTTTAAATTACATATGAGATAGTAATTTTATTTGATCTTTGACAGCTGTGATATACTAACAATATTTAACAGCTGTCCATTACCTTTTACTCCCTCGTTGATCAATACTACTTTATTATCATATGGTTTTTTTCAGTTCGTATCAATATTGCTCTACTGGATAACACATATGTATCTGACTGTTTTGTGTTATATGTTCATAATCAATCCTGTATTAGATAAGGGGAACTATCCCAAAAAATTTATAAAAATGTCATGTATTCATGTTCTTTCAACTAAAAGCCTGTAAAAGTCTTCACTTGATCCATAATTGTTTAGACAATTATGAAAAATTGTTTAATCCTATGCACAATTAAAGTTAGTTGAGATCATTTCCTTGTTAATCTTGACACGATGGTATATTTCATGCAGGTGAACGGTTAAATTTTACAATGACCTGATAAGTTTCACACAACAATCACGTATATATATAAATATCGTGATCATGGCAAGCATGGGTTGCTGAAGACCTATTCTACCACGGATCTTCACGGGCAAAAGCCCTTACTGATATGATTCGAGTGTTGTGACCGATGCAGCGGTCCACTGCGGACTGACTTAACCTTGCAATCACGGCGTACAGTAGAAGTCCTGATATAAATTCTCCCAGTCCAGACGGTTCTCATGAACGCTAAGTCCCTTTATCCGGGCTATAAGCACTCGTCGGACATCGCATTTAAACTAATCCTCGCCCTCGTTGTAATGACAAGTTTATCTTCCAATTTGATAAAGATTACTCTGCATCCAGAAGTATTCGCCACGTTTTGCATTAAAATAGTATTAACACCCGAAAGAAAACTATCCGTTTCTTTTCATATTGTAAGATGGTGTTCTTCAGCTGAAAAGATTCGCGGTAAGATAAAATAAACGGACAGTAATACTAGGGCTGGGACGAGTCCAAATTTACTACCCGGGTACCCACCCCCTATTACCCGACCCAACCCAGGTACCCACTGTAGGTCTCAGGAGATGGGGGGCACGGGTGGCCCAGTCGTCTAAGGCGCCGCGATTCGCTGTGCAGAGTTGCGTCCCCTGGGCACTCCAGAAACCTATGATTGTGGGTTCGAATCCCGGTTCTCCCCGATTATGTGTCTAGGTTTGTCAGCA